GGGACGCTGAGGGGTGACAGGGGACTTAGGGGGTGACAGGGGGAATTACCTTTGCAGGTGTCCCTGGTGGTCCAGTGTCCTGGCTCCCTGGTGGTCCGGTGGGCCTCCTATCCGGTCTGCAGCTCCGCCGGGTGTGAGCTGCAGACCACGTGATAGGAGTCTCGCGATCTCCAGGAGTCAGAGCGTTGCCGTGGTAACCCGCGGCAACGCTCTGATTGGCTGGGGATCGTGAGGCACTTCAGTCTGCAGCTCACACCTGGCGGAGCTGCAGACTGAAGGCTGGCTCTCCGGGCGGACTGAGGGGGCCTCGCACCCGGCGGCATAAAGGGCAAGCCGCCGGGTTCCCCCTGATGTCGGATCCTCGGTCATAGACCGAGGACCCGACATGTCAGTCTGCCCTTGGGCGATTTAGGCGGCCGTGAGGCCCCAGCCAGCGCGAGGCCTTAGGCGGCCGCCTAAATCGCCTAATTAGAGAGCCGCCTCTGAAGTTGGACAATTGGGGTGCCTTTAAGACTGGGTTGAGGACCACCTGCTCCAGAAAACATTGATGAATAATCTTGTGTTGAACATCATGTGAAGAATGTCCTACAAAAGATGGACTTTCAAAATGCCACCAGTCACTGTGCCAGATAAACAATAAATTTTCTCAGGTATATGATAGATATGAACCAAAAAAAAGACAAATGAGCATCTGTTGCTCCTGGGTGACAGGGGATACAGTGATACTCATATGCAGTCCTGTCTTTTAAAAAAGTTTTTTTAAATACATACCATATAATGCAACATATCAGCATATATGAAAAGCGTACATACAATGTGACGGATTGCACTCAATGGACTTAAAAATAAAGAATAAAGTGGCTTTATTTTAAGCAGACGTGTGACAGGCATGCAGGATGGCATCATATCCCGCACAAGTCAGTGCCTGTACATTTGCTGTGCCCTACCATAAATTAACAACCAACCCCCTAAAACTGGTGTGAAAAAGAAACACTGAAATATTCTAGTTACAATATATTCTTTTTTTTATTTTTTTATTCTTTATTTATTCCAAGACACGACATCGTAAAACAATGCAGTTACAGCAAGATAGGGTTATGTATAAACAGGCATGTAAACTGTGTACAAGGCGTTGTTGCAATCATGTGGTAGGACCACTGTCTCGTTTGCCTATCTCCTTTAGCTAGGTACCTCTGATTGAGTGTACATTCCAACTTTTCTCTTCCCTACATATATTTAGATGTCCCATCCGGTTTTATAAAGTATGTAAAACAGTTATCAGATATCACAAAATATGAAAAGTAATACATACCGACTGCTCTTGCGTTAGCATACGTATTTATACTTGAAAAGAGAAAATAAAACCAAAGGGAGGGTAAACGTCTAAGCGTAATATGCAATCGTGCGTTTGCTCACGAGTCGCTATTGTCTCACGTACGTATTCCCTCTTTATACAGTCGGAAGATAATGTTCCGGAAGTAGAATGTGTAAGAAATGAGAAGATAGTAAAAGTACCTCGAGGAGTCGAAGTCGCAGAGAAGGAAGAGTGAGTGGTAAAGGGGGGGGGGGAGGAAGGAAGGGGGCCTAGTGTGGCTTCTCGATAAGAAGAAGGTGTCTTAAGGGTTGTGCTTGTCTTCCTGCCCTATCCCCTTCGGGAGTCTAACTTATGTTACAATATATTCTGAGATGCGTAACACACAATTATCCATGGCCTCTCATATAATCGTTTATAATATTTATATTTTTATATCTCTATCTCCCAAAATAGCATGAACTGTTAACCCTATACATTTAAAAGTGTGTGTAGGAAAGCATAAATTACAATATTAGTCATTCTAATATTTAGTTTATTCCTCTAGATACATATTTAATTTGTACTTATTATTCTGTATGAGATGGTGAAACAAACTTCACTTCTTTGATCCTATATTTATATTTAGATTTACAATTTAATAAATAGAATTGAAAAATATAGTAAGATTAATTTTTGTGCATTTTTAAAATTCATCATCCATTGTTTGAAGCAATTTATGTCTTTTACTGACCAGGAAAAGCATTACTTACTGACCTTGTCCTTTCCTTACAGAGCATCTCTGTGATTTATGTGATCTCTTTACAGCTCACTACCAGCTGACAGCTTTTCATTTGGGGTAATTAACTCCTCTCACCCTCCACCCCACCCCCAAAGAAACATCTGATTTATATCACAACAATTATTTTTACATTACTTCTCAACCAAGCAACATAATTCACATTGAATAATGAATCTGACTCAAAGGGACATTTACATCTGTCTCTGACAAGGAGAAAAAAAACATCCCTGAAAGGTCAATTATATATATCACTTTACTAAACACGTCCCTGGTAGAGAATGAGGTGGAAAAAAACAATTAATTCTCATGCATTCACCAGTATTTATCCAATACTATCAATTACATTTTCTTACCATGCAAACAGTGCAGTCTTCAGGAAGAGTCTATGGAAAAAAAAATTAGAACAATTTTGTATTATTTCAGTTAAATGTTGTACTGTTTATGTTCTCTTTAGAATGGGATTTATTTCTCAATTTGCCAATCTATGTATGCATATTAAATTAACCTTATTTAAGGATTAGATCATATATAGGAGGGAGGGTGATCATGCAATACTTACTACATAATTTTCACTACAGGAAATATGATTAAAAAAGGAGACCGAGACACGTTTTAACCATAAAACACCTTATAGGATTAGGTTAAACTACTGGAAATGCAAAGAGAATTTCAAACTTGAGACCAAAATAGCAGAAATTAAAAAAAAATTATTCTCACCAGCTGTATTCAAGTTAACTATTTTGACCAGATATTTGAAAAAAAAAATATGAATTGAATAAGAGTTAATGGTTTATTAAATATTTATGTCTGTTTGCACTGTGTCAATGACAAAACCACAGCCCTTTTATACAGTGGCAGATGAAAGGGTAACTATCACAGACTTACCTTACTCTCCATTCCCACATTGCATTGTCCCACCTCCGGTCTGCCATTGCCCTTTCTGCAGTCGTTTCTGATTTGCCCTGCTTTGGGATGCGTCCCCAATCATGGCAAACCTCATCCATAACACTGACATGCTGCCTTCATTGTCAGCATGACGGTGTCTGAACAGAGTGATGTCAGTCGCTCTGTTCCTGCACTCCCAGCCAATGCTAGCAGTGTTGACTAGAGAGTTACCATAGCAACTACAGCGCATGCTCTGTGGTTGCTATGCACGGAGAGCAGAAGGTCCACCTGTGGGTTGTCTCTTCTGCTCTTCAATCAATTCTTCGGGCATTGAGTCTATGCCAAACAATTGATTGACAGGTGGGAGAAATACTTATTATTAAATATGTATTTTTGATAAGCTATACATTTGCTAGAAAAATTGCTAGCATTATGTATATACAATTTGATGGCCTTTAACCCCTTAAGGACCAAACTTCTGGAATAAAGGGGAATCATGACATGTCACACATGTCATGTGTCCTTAAGGGGTTAAAAAGAGCAAAATACTGTTGGGCATTACAAATTCTCTTTAATCATGTCATGACCTTGAAAGGTGCGTACATAGTGTACCTGAGATGTGTGTTTTTAGTCTATGGATTGTTTTGTATGCTGCTGCTCTGTGATGTCCAGCTATCCCTAATGATAAAAGCTTTGTAGCAAGCTAATGGTCAGAGTTTCCACATTTAAGAGTTTCCTAAGTAATGATCAGAGTTTCCACATTTAAGGTTAATGTAGTGGTTATGACGCTACCTTGGCCCAGTTTCCCGGTAGTTGGGCAAACCATTTAGCAATTTGCCCCCTTACCTGGCTCTGCACTGGGCTCTGTGGCTCCCTGGTGACATGCTTGACCATCACCATTCGATGGCTGAGAGCATCAGCTGACCGCTATTTGCCAATGAATGCAATTCTGTTCCATAGACCTCAATGCTGCACTCTTGTGCATCTGAATTGAAGAGGACCTGCCAGGAAAGATGGGGGCACCACTGGAGGTACAGGTTAAAGTAAGTAGAACTAACCTTTGCCTGCCCCCCCTGGCCACCAAATCTCAGCGATGATGTCACCACCAGGGATCAAATTCAGATGGTGACAGTGCCAACTTTAATATATTTGGATACTTTGTTACACTGATACATACTGCTAGATTTTGTTTGAATTTCGTAGATTATATAATACTCTATTTGTTTTGACGTTCTGATCCCCTTTATGGCTTTATTTCATTTGTAAGCAGGCCAGTAGTAGGTTTGCTATATGTCACGTGTTGCCCATAAATACTATGACAATGGAAATGGAAATGCAATTGTTCTCATTAGGCTCCTCAACTTCATTCAACTCCATGTCCATAGAGCCCTAGATTGAGCATAGATTGTCTACTATAGGTTGTCAAGATTATGCATAATAAAATCTATATGAATTGACCATTGTCGCTTGCATGTGATGTCATTTTAGTAATGCTCCCACACATTTGTTTTCGAGACCACTGCTGTGCTGACAGTTGGTCAGCTATCTCCTTGTTATTACTTATTGAGCTTCAACAAGGAATCAAGGCTGCAAAATGTAAACGTCATAAGCTCAAAAACATTTGAAAATCTTTTTTATTTGCCCCAAATTTTTTAAATGCGCAATTACATAATGCAGTATAAAAAAGGGAACATGGGTTCAATTCACAGAAGAAGTGTCTCTCCCTATAGCGGTTTGTTTTAATATATAACTTTTTTTAACAGGCCTGGTGCTTATGTATTCTTGATTATATTAAAAAAATTACAGAAATCGCAGATAAAACACCTCATAAATAATTACATGCACTTGTCCCACCCATCTGAATTAGTAAAGATGCATATTATTTAAGCAAATTCTAGCCAGGTGTTGCAAATGAAAAATGTGTATTATCAAACCATCTACTTACAGGGACAGGCAACCTTCGGCACCCCAGATGTTGTAGACTACATCCCTTTAATGCTCTTACATCCATAATGCTGGCAAAGCATCATGGGAGGTGTAGTCCAAAACATCTGGAGTGCTGAAGGTTGCCTATGCCTGATCTACTATGAGACATGTTTATTGTTTATGTTAGTCATGAGTGAGGTTCATTTTTTTTTTTTTTTTGTGTGTGCCCTTAACTGGTAAATGTGCAAATGATGCTTAGTTTGTAAGCCTGTGTAAAACGATTTCAGGATTAAATGCTTTGGACAATACAGCTTCTTTACAACCCATCTGACAAAGTGCTTGTATTTATGTGTTTCCGACCTGCCCACATTAATCATTCTGAAAGTTTCCCTGAGCTCACACATCCCAGGAGACCAATTTTACTTAATCACGTGGTTCTTTTATAACATGCTCCCATTAGGGATTAGAACAAGGCCGCCGAGTACATTTCAATTGGGAACTTAAACACACCAAATTGTAGGCTTTCAGGGTTGTGAAAATTGGTTTTCTTCAGTTGTTAAGGATCAGATTAATGGGGCATTTCTATGAAAAGTGCAAGTTGAATTTGCACATTTATTTTCCTTGTGGAATTTTATAGATCTCTGTTTTCATGTGTGAAACATAAGGAATGAATGACAGACTGGCACTAGTAACAAGTGCATTATACTACTTTCAAATTATCCTGGCAGCCAGGCATGTGCTCATTATGTGTTCCCGTGTCCTCATTAAACTGAATATTTCTTGATTAAAATGGTAATGAGCTGGGCATTGTATTTAGACCATGTTAAATTCTGTTGAAATAAGAAATAGTCTTGTGACCTTTTCCAATGTCTGAATCACTAGCTAGACTAATAGCCAACAGGTTTATTCACTCTGAATGTCCCAAAGTCCAACTTGAGATATGCCGGTTATATACTATAGTATTTTTTTCTATCTACATCAAATTTGTTTTGTTTTTTTATCTTGTTTGGACTCACGGAGAGACTTCATCTTCTAGACCAGAACTAGCACCAGATTGAAAAAGCATTGTGTTGAGATTTTATACTGCAATTCTAAAAACACTCTTAGCAATGAACAATGTTTTAAACACAGGGCCAGGGTCTAGAAACAAGCCATGTACTAACTAGGAATATATATTATTTGCAATCTGATTCAACTATTAAAAATAAAAATAAAAAAAAATAAGGATTCTTAATAAGCTAATGAACTCATGCAATGGCTGTATTGTTTTTTCAACTAGTTCAACTAGTCATATAACCGTATTAATTAAAGTCCTGTCCATCCATCTGAACTTTGTTCCCCAGTGTCTTGTTTTCGGTGAAAGCAGGGAACTGTTCCCAACAAGCATTGCACAGGCAGATAATTAGACGCACTTGCATTTTGCTCTGAGTGTTACATTTCTGCAGAGAGAACTAAAGAAATGCTCCTTGCAGGGTCCGCCCTTAGTGGACGGCCTGATTGGCAGGCATCCTGGCATGTATTCACACCAGGCTGACCAGTCCATTCTACGGATGGACCCGTCCACTGTTCTAGTGGGCCTGCCCCTTTGGGTAGAACCAGTGATGCAAATTGTATCATGGGCCCAAACCCTTTTACCCTTCCCATTGGCATCCAGATTTACAGGACGCTGAAGTTGAAAGGCATGTATTATATGTTACATGGGGCCACATTCCTACAGATTGCATGACTGGTGTTATCTGTTTAGAATGGGCAATTAAGAGATTTCACTGCACTGATGAAGAATAAACCAGCAGAAATCATTAACACCTCATTTATTAGCTAGTTAGGATGATTGGCTAGTCATATACAGTGGTATTACTTACCAACAAGGTTCAATGTGTTATCAAGGTTCTCATGATATTCCCAGCTTTGAATACTTTTCATAGAAAACATACATACATAAGGTGGAGCTTCTTGTATACACGTTCAGAAGATATCGGATACAAATGCCCAGATAAATGTCCCAAAATGCGTTTCGCCCTTAAATGGGCTTCCTCAGTTGGTTGCTTGTGTTTGCCTTCCTTCCCGGCTTTTTAAATGGTCCCCAGGTCTCAAATTCCAGCTTTTTCCCAGAAGGGAAGAGAGTCTGATACAACTTTTTTTCCCAAATAAATGTTTCCTTTCTTCTTTAGAACATAAGGACTCTTGTAGGGAGAAATGCAGTTTGAGAGTTTGAGACTGCATTTCTCCCTACAAGAGTCCTTATGTTCTGAAGAAGAAAGGAAACATTTATTTGGGAAAAAAAGTTGTATCAGACTTTCTTCCCTTCTGGGAAAAAGCGGGAATTTGAGACCTGGGGACCATTTAAAAAGCCAGGAAGGAAGACAAACACAAGCAACCAACTGAGGAAGCCCATTTAAGGGCGAAAAACGTTTTGGGACATTTTTTGGACATTTATCTGGACATTTGTATCCGATATCTTCTGAACGTGTATACAAGAAGCTCCACCTTATGTATGTATGTTTTCTATGTATCTTGTAGAGGTGGTTTAGGGGATACCACTCAAGGTGTTTGAGCTTCACTGTTAAACTCCACATTGTGCACTTTTTGATTTGAATACTTTCCATGGCTGATGACACCCTATAGGTTGTTTGCAATAAACTTGAGGCGTCCGGATTCAAATAAGTACTTTTAAAATTTAGCGTTTAGAGGAGTTGAAAATCTCCCAAAACATTTGCTTTATGCGTTAAGTGTGAAAACACCAACAATGCTTATGATTAAGTGCAGTGTTTACATACGCTTTATTAACATGTAGCAGACATAACAGAGTGTTTATGTTTTGGATGATTTTTCATTTTAGCTTTCTACTACTAAACACTACATTTAAAAAGTACTTATTAGAATTCTGGAGCCTCGGGTTTATTGCAAGCAACTTATATAATTGTGTAGTCCTCAACTGGAGGTCTGTTAGTTTATTTAGTACTATAGTTTATTTCTGACTT